TGACCAGGATCCATCCTATGGGTGCTCGCCCCAAAACAAGGGTCTAGTGGACCCTGACAATCATCACAGCCATCACCAAGGATTTTATGTCATGTGTACACTCACCTCCTTAGGATTCCATCATGCAAAGTATACTTGTCTCATTGGGACTTCTTTAATTACAGTTAAAGAAAATAACTCAGATCTTCGTACCTAGAGTAGAGTTAACTGCCCCCATGGTTTCCAAAGCTGCAATCTTTCCAGAAGCAGTCTGCTACATCTTTTTCCTGCAGAGTGGCTGGTGGGTTCGAACTGCTAACCTTTCAGTTAGCAGCTTAGCACTTTAATCACTGCACCACCAGGGCTCACTCCTTCAGTAACTTGTAGGACATCATTGTCAGGTCTCTCCTGTAGCTGGGTTCTTCAGCCTCTGCACCTGGAGGCTGGACTAGCTTCATGGCATGCAATCTGTGCAGATGCATGGGGCTCCATGTTCAGAAAGGCCCTGTCACCTTTGGTTTAACTCTGCTGTTGCCATCTTGAAATGCTTAATGCTTTTTGAACAAGGAATACAATGTTTTCATTTTGTACTGAGCCCTGCAAATTACGTACCTGGTCCTGTCTGGAGAACTAGCTGCTTCAAGGTGAATTTCAATCAAGCCCTGTCTCTACACCCAGGACAAGAGCCATTACAGAATAGTTCTGAGTATAGCTTTTGGTTACTGTGATATTTTCACCGTCATTCACTTGGCAGGTTGACTGTCACAAACCTGAAAGTTCAAGCAGCCCAGAAACACATCTGACACCTGACTATAGATTTCTGGTTCAACCATAAATTAAGGTTTGGCCTTGGTCACCCTTTATCATCCTGCTACCAAGTACAGACTCCTGTTCCTTCAAGCCTCCCCCAAGTTTATAAACAATACCACTCCCCCAAACAAGGGTTCATAAACTTTCCCATTCTAAAAGTTTAATGTGTTATGCAGAATTTAACAATTTCCTTAGCACAATCTGATTAAGAGTATGCAGAATTGCATGAGATGTAATGAAAGTCAAGCACTGTAATTTCAATTATTAAACACTTGTACCAAAGCCTGTACCCGAGCAGCTCACTGACTTGTATTTGAACTGCCAAAGTAGCAGCTGCAATGCTCAGAAAGCAGAAAAGCATTTGAACAAATTATTTCCTTAGCTGTGACAGATTTGAAAAGGCCCTCTTCAAGGTGAGTGACAAAAGAGGTCTGTAAACTATGCATTTTCCCTGGGACATCCTATACACCACTCAAGCCATTCCTCAAATTGCAATTGTCATTTTCTACCTGCCCACATTGGATTCTGACACAGACCTGTCACAGTTTCTGATATAACAATTGGTCACTCACTCTTAGGAAGCCTGAGATCAAAAATTTGCCTCACTCAACACTCCCATTAGCTGCATTAAAACAGTTGTTCCAAATCTCTTCAAGACAGTGTAGAAACTTAACTTCTGTGTGTGTGTGCACGTGCGTGTGCATGCACACACATGCATCTGTTGTGTAGGGAAAGAAGAACATCAGGACAAAGGTGGTAAAGTGACACCGTCCTTATTTGCCATGCCTCCAAATGAGATATACCTTTTTCATTCCCCCTTGGTCTGGCTGGAGTCATTACCAGAGAGTAGGTTTCACAAATGGTCATTTCATTGCTCAGGGCCCATATTAATTTAATGGCCTCATTCAGAGTCATACTGATTTCAAACTGACAGCATACTCCAGCCACAACTGTACTCCAAGTGCAACAGAATCCCTGACAAAATTGGCCACAGGCAGATAGGGAAGCATGGGAACAAGCAGCCATTGTCTCATTCAGAGCATCCACAATCGGACAAACTTCCTGAAACTAACTATTCCTGTGCCTGGTGAAATCCACATCGCAGGTTTCCAGATTGCGCATCCACAGCCCTCAAACAAACTCACCATCTCTGCACTAATGAGCAACCTCATAGCCCTCCTTTAGGCACCCGGGCAGCCTTCTCTCCACAGGTCAGTTTGGATCCCTGCCCTTAGAATGTTAATGCCTTCCCAGAAAACAAATGTTAAAAATTGAAGTCTTTATTTAGAAACTTTTACCACTCCAGTTCAGAAATCCCCTATTTCTGTTTCCAATTCAAGAGTGAGAAATAGTGGTCTATACATAGTCACCTGGGGAATCTTGAAGATGTTTCGATAGCCCACTCCCCACAGTTAAATTGAATTTAGGGACCCACTTCCTTGAGCAAATGTTGATAGATAGCCTGGCTCTTTCTCCAAACATGCTCTTCCATTCTTTCCCACTGAGCATTTTCAAAATTTGGCACTCACTTATTAATTACCTACATACAAGACACTCCTCTCATACTAGAGAGACATATACACACATAAATTAGATTCAGTCCCTTCTCTCCTGGGGGATCTAGCCTAAGAAAGGCTAGATTATTTCATTCAACTTACTTAGTAAGTTTATCAAGCACTCACTATGTGATGGACACTGAAGGGTACAGATTTGTGCAGGTCCCTTCCCACAAGGTACCCACGGTCAGTCTGAATGAGGTCTTTGAGGGCTCTGAGCTCCCTGAAACTCAAGCACCCAGCCTGACCCTGTGCCTCTGCCTCATTCCAAACTATTATTTGTTGACTAAATGCACTGGGTAGAGTCCACTTTATGAATAGAGCCTTCTAACTAACAAAGGCATTCTAAAGTCAAAGGGGGGAGTCAGGCAGGCTATGTACTGAGCAGAATTTAAAATAAAAATCATTCTGATAACCTGCTCTGCAGAATATTTCCTCCTGCTGATGGACATATTGCCAGGTTCAGAAATGTGAAAAGATCTCTTTCATAATTGCTGCCTCAGAACTGGTCACAGGCTCTGTTGAGATTTGTGGCACAAGTCTGCTTACATAGCGGGCTGACAGGAGCTTGTTAACGCCAAAAAATGTTTCTCTCCTTCTCCCACCTACAGAAGCTGAATGTCACTGATACGACTGTCTCAGCCTTTAGCAGGAACAACACCTGTTTCACTTTCCTAGAATGCAGGTAGGCACAAATCTCCAGGAGCAACAATTCACCTTTTCAAATTAAAGATGCAAGGAGTGGCAGAGTGGAGAGAACACAACTGCTACAAAACAAGGGACTTAGAGGGGGAAAGCCTGTTCAAACATCAAGGGGTGAACTATTGATGTTTAGCTTAAAATTTCATCTGCACAGAGGCCCAAGAATACTCTGCAAGCTGCAAAGTCTCTACGTAGTACCTAATGTTTATATTATACAAGATCCAAACACATCGTAATTCTACTTTAACGCAACCCAAGTCCTCAGTAACACTGAGAGAGAAAAAAAAAATCCTTCACTCTAAAAACTAGGCATGAATTTCTCTGTGATTGATAAGAACTGATTCTAATGCCACATGAAATTTGTTTTTAAATGGTTGTTTTATTCAGAGTGGTTGCTATTTAATGATGCTGTCTTAATTTCCTCTAAACCTGTTACATCTACACATCCAACATTAATATTTATTTTGTTCATTTAATTTTAAAGTATTCTTAAATTAAGGCCATGACAAATATTCTACTATTGCTGAAGATAGTTCAGCATCGACGCTACCGTGAACACATCATGGAAAACATGATCCATGTGTTGCAGCTGTAATCTAGCTTAATAAATACTATGAACACTTCAGTAAATTAAGGAACAATTCTGAATGTGTTATAAAATCAACTGCTAAGTGTTATTTTTCAAGAATAAACAATCTGTGTTATCTTGAAATCCCTTAGTGTGAAGTTAGATTTCACATAATTACATACTTAAGAATCACTTTGTTAAAATCTTTTCCCATGAACACATTATTTTTCATGTTTTTCCTAAAAGCTTCAACATTTAACCTATGCATGTTGGCCTGAGAGCATATAGTAAATTAAAGCCATGGTGATACTGAACCTATACTGTATTTAATATAACCAATACTGTCTCTTGTTCCTGTTTGGGCTTCCTAACTTCTTACTGCAGTGTGACATTCTGCAGAGCACTTCAGTACAAAATGGGTTCAGGATGCAGCAATACCACTGCCACTGCAGGAAAATCCAATGCTTTTCTCCCTGGAAATACCAAATCTCCAAATCCTGCACACTAACTCATAATTAATTTTATTTTCCTCTTCTCCATAATTCATTTTTACATCTCAGAGAAGCTCTTAGTATGAAGCCTTATTTTCTCAGCAGCTATTTCCTTGGCATGTTTACTTTTAGGAAACATGACAAAGAAAAGCAACATAGCCTACAAGCAGCCCAAGTGAACCACTACAAAAGCATATTCTGTTTTGCATTAATTTGGCAAGAAGAGAAAAGCCAGTGAGTGCCTGTTTGGTTGTCAGATAAAACCTCCCTGCTTTCAGATGCCTCCATAGACAGCATCAGAGGCAGAAGGGGAGGGGGGAAAAAAATCTCTAGACCAACAACATGTTCCAATATGAGAGGTTAGTGTTCTGATCATCTAAACTTTTATTACTATTACACAGCTTTGGGCGGGCGGTGGGGGGGACGACTCCTTTTTCGGAACCAACCTCAGCAACAACTTTGCTGTTCAAAGTTCCCAGGTCTTAACTCAACAGTAATCAAAACTGAATGCTTTCAAAACCTCAAGGGGTTACTCCTTCCTTTTTGTACTCACATTTGAACAGGAAAGGGGTGTGTGTGTGTGTGTGTGTGTGTGTGTGTATGTTTTCCTCTGCTGTCCTGCTTGTTTTTTGCCTTTAGAATTTGAAGATTTGTTTCCAAGCCCAGAAATGGGCACCTGATAGGGGATGATTTATATGTGAGAAAGCCACCCTGGTTCTTGTCTTGTATGTGAGAAAGCCACCCTGGTTCTTGTCAGAGTCAGAAGCTACTCCACCACCAATCTTAGTGTCCTCCAGGTAGCACACTGGCAAAAAGGGGAGCAGGGAAGCAGGTTCTGTCAGAAGTTGCCCAGGACATGCAGCACAGGTAAATCCAAAGTAATGGAGGCAAATATAAAAAGTATATTATTTATTATCTTCTTTATTAATACTCACATGTAACCTTTGCTTTTTACACAAAAGTCTACTTTAGATGAACGCCTCCTTGGTTCATCATGCCCAATGGGGCTTTTTGTTCCTGGACCACTTCCCCTTTCTCCACCCCACACCCCACATCCAAATTATTCTTTTACATGTTCACAAATACCACGGAAAGTTTGTAAACAGATTTGGGTTACTAGAACTTGATATTATCAACATCCCACTTCAAAATAGAAGGCAGGTGGGGGAGAAGGTAAGAAATGGGAGAAAGAGTAAGGAAGAAAGGGTAGAGAGAGGGAAGGAGGAGCAGCTGGTCAGAACTGTCAAGTCTTGCCTTTTTTGAGATGGGTGTGTTGTGGCTATTCCTTGAAATTCAATGACTTAATTGACAGCAAATGCCTGTGTGGTTATTTATATTATGTATCTGTAATCGAGTATGAGAGCTCTTTCAGTTTGGGTCTGGGCTGTGTTTGTTTAAGCACACCACAATCTTGTCACAATCCTGTGGGTGTCTCCACAGGGAGTCTGATCACCCCAAAAGCGCTCTCACAGCCGAGGCTTCCGGAGCAAGGTCTTGCTGAGGTCTTTGACCTCCTCCGGGCTGTTGACTCGCTCATAACCCAGCACTGCCATGGGCTGATAACAAAACTCCTCCACCTGTTTGATCTGCTGGAAGGTGAGGGCGGTCCGCCAGGCATTGGCTGCCTGCGTGGCATTGCGGGCAGACACCACGAAGGGCTTGGAGGAGGAGCCCGAGCCACTAGTCATATTCAACGCAAACTGCTCCATCTCAGGACTCACCAGCAGCCCCACGAAGTCGTATACCCTCCTCAGAGTCTTGACAGGGTCTCCCACCAGGTCCTCGTACCGCACCACCAGGTAGTGGCCCTGCAGCCAGTCAGGGGGCTGCAAGGCCGTCTGCAGCGTTTTGGCCATGCTGTTGCAGATGACCTCCATGGCACCAAGCGCGTGGTAATCAGCTGGCCCACCCATGCCCTCCTTCTTGGCACCCAGCTTGTGGCCGGCGGCCTCCAAGAAGGGCATGCGGTGGGCGCGCGGGTCCCGGCTACGCACCACCTGCAGGCTCTCGCGGATGAGGCCGTGGCGTGAGCGGATGCGTGAGCTGGCCACGGCGCGGGGATCGCGCACCAGGTGAATGACCTTGAGGTCCAGGGCCGGGTCGCGCAGCAAAGGGGCCAATACAGCCACGTCGAAGACCCGCACGCCCTTGATGACGAGCGTGCGGTACTTCCGACACTCCTCTTCGAAGCGGGCCAGGCGCTGCGGCGGGCATTTCTTGCACACACGGTCGTCCACTAGCCCCACGACTTCCTTGCGGTAGGCGGGGCAGAGTGGCGAAGAGCACACCACCTTGTTGGTGGCCGCGCCAAAGATGCCCAACGTGGTGAGGTTGCGCCCCCCGCTGCCTGCCGGGCTGTACAACTGGAAGACAGAGAGGTCGCAACGATAGAGAGCGCTCAGCATGTCCCGCGCCGCCCCCTGCAGAGAAACGGCATCCCCGGGGTACAGCTTTTGCCACACGTGCCACACTGGCTCGTAGAGGAAGAACACTTCGGGGTTCTGGTTGAAGAGCTCGCCAAAGAAGGACGAGCCCGAACGCCACGTGGTGAACACGTACACCAGCTGTCGCTTGCCCCCGCTGCCCCTGCTGCCATTGCCCGGAGGGCCCCTGGCCCCTGCCAGCCCCGCCGCGACGGCATTGGCTGGCGGGCGGTACTGGGTGCGGATGTCCAAACGGGTGTGAGCACGGGGCGGCGCTGCCGGAGGCGACCCCGGACGCCCCCAGCCGCCCCCCGCAACCCCCGCTGCGGCGCCCAGAGGCCCGTCGGGGCTGCACTGCTGCAGCGGCTCCTTGTGCCACTTGTAGTCCAGGAGGTTCAGCATGGTGAGCACCAGCAGCAGCGCATAGCCCGCGCACAGCACCAGCGCCTT